CAGGATGGGCGAAAATGAATTCAGACAAGGGTTAAGAGTAATAATTTATTGAAAGACAAAGTTTCCGCATTTCGCGCGGGAGGGGGACTGATTTCAGACAAGGATTAAGAGTCGAGACCGGTACAACGGATCGTCTTCTTGCTCTAATAATTAAATGAAACGTGAAAGCTTCAGTGCTTCGCGCGGGATAGACGAAAATGAATTCAGACAAGGATTAAGAGTAATAATTTATTGAAACGTCAAAGCTTATGCGCTTCGCGCGGGAGGGGGGGGGGACTGAATTCAGACAAGGATTAAGAGTCGGGGTTGGAACAATGAATCGTCTTCTTTCTCTAATTATTAAATGAAACGTCATAGCTTCCACGCTTTGCGCAGGAGGGGCGAACCATGAATTAAGAGTCAAGAACGGTACAACGGATCGTCTTCCATCTCTAATAATATAATGAAGTGTCAAAGCTTCCGCGCTTCGCGCGGGAGGGGGGGGGGGGAACTGAAAAAATTAATTAGTTCCTGGCCCCGGGTTTATGGGGTTAAAATTGTAGGCATTTGGACATTGGCATTTTTATATTTGTTGGTAATTGGTGGCTCGTTTTGTCGGTAATCGGTGGCCTCTACACCCTTCCCCCCTCCCCCACTGAAAAAGATCTAGCCGCGCCCCCGATAACGACACAGTTTATACACTCGAGATAATTTTTGCAAGTACTACAGTCAAGTACCGGCATCAAAGCATAATCTATACAACGTCTCACGACGTGTCAGATCACTTTTCTCTAACTTCTAACGAATCCCCTCCCGCGCAAAGCGCGGAAGCTTTGCCGTTTCATTAAATTATTAAAGAAAGAAGACGATTCGTTGTACCGGTCTCTACTCTTAATCTTGTCTGAATTCAAGAAGGCCTCTTTTTTTCCAGGAAGTGCCGGTGGACATTAATGCGCCAAATGTGGTTCTCAAATTGCAAAAGATCCCTACTCTTGGAAGGGGTAGGAGAAAGCAATTTTACGTCATATTATATTACTCCAGGAAGCAGGGGCGTCGCCAAGGGGGGGGGGGGGGTGAGGGGGTGCGACACCCCCCCCCCACCTGTCAGGATATTGTCGGTAAAATTGCGCTGCCGTCGGAAAAAAGAGAAAAGGGGGAGGGTAAAAAAGAGAGGGGAAAAAAAGAGAGGGAAAAAAGAGAGGGAAAGGGGAAAGAAAAGAAGAAAAAAAAGAAAAGAGAAGAAAGAAAGAGAAAAAAGAAGAAAAAAGAGTGAAAGGGAAACAAACGAAACGGGAGATGAAAGAGAGGAGAGAGAAGGGAGGTAAGAGTCTGAGAGAGGAGGAGCGGGAGTAAAAGAGAGAAGGGAGTTGTTGGGTGGAGTCGTCTCGTCGAGGGAGCAAGAAAGAAACGGGTAAATATGTTGCTGTGTTGGGTCAGCTGTGTCGGTATTCTTGATCGATCCTCGTGTACTATATCAATGCAGAAGTTTGAAGTCGGTGAGATGTATATTGTCGGTCGGCCGACAAGTTTTTTTCCCTACGAACTGTGTCTTCTTATCCGCTGTGACGACTTCGAGAGTGACTACAACTACAATACTTGTTTTTTCTCGAAGTTTCACTTTTCTATAATATCAGCTAAAGAAATCAGAGGTTTAAAATTTTCGGGAAAACTAATTTCAAACAAGGTTTAAGAGTCAACAACGGTACGACGAACCGTCTTCCTTTCTATATATTGTGATGAAACGCCAAAATTCCGTGCTTCGCGCGGAAGGGAAACTTCATTTAGTCGAGTCGAGAACGGTACAACGAATCGTCTTCTTTCTCTAATAATTTAAGGAAACGTCAAAGCTTCCGCGCTTCGCGCAAGAGGGAAAACTGAGTTCAGACAAAATTAATAGGGCTTATTTAGAGTCAAAAACGGTACAACGAATCGTGTTCTTTCTCTAATGATATGAGGAAACGTCAAAGCTCTCGCACTTTGCGCGAGAGGGGGGAAACTGAATACAGAAGAATAGGGCTTATTAAGAGTCGAAAACGGTACGACGAATCGTCTTCTTTCTCTAATAATTTTAATGAAACGTCAAAACTTCCGCGCTTCGCGCGGGAGGGGGAAGCTTCATTTAGATAAGGATTAAGAGTCGAGAACAGTACACCGAATCGTCTGCTTTTTCTCATAATTTAATGAAACGTGAAAGAGGGGGGTGGGGGATGGGAGGGGGGGGGGGAACTTCATTCAGCCAAGGATTACTAGTCGAAAACGGTACAATTAATCGTCTTCTTTTCCTTATAATTAAAGGAAACGTCTAAGCTTCCGCGATTCGCGCAGGAGGCCCATCACCCACACCCCCTAATGAGCGCGCTTTTAAGTGATTCTCTTGCTCACTACCGCCCCTCCCTAAAATAAGATCCTAGCTCCGCGCCTGCATTAAAATATATAGCTATGATGCTGACTAAATTGAAGAAATAATACGTATATTTATGTCTTCGAGGAAAATGACCATTTCGCGCATATGCAAGTACTATAGATAGTCCATATGAATTTTTTTTTTAGCTTCGGCCCCGGGTTTATAGGGTTATTTGTAGATATTGAACATTTAATTTTGTCGGTAATTGGTGGCTAATTTTGTCGGTAATCGGTGGCCTCTACACCCCCCCCCCCCCACTAAAAAAGGAATGCCAGGAATTGCCTGAAAATACGTCTAATTTGGTTTTAAAATTGCAAACGCTTCTTACTCTGGGAGGGGGCCTGAACCCCCTCCCAGACCCACCCCCTGCTTGGTCACTCCACTCCCTCGCCGTTAAAGCCTCGTTCTGTCGCTTCATCGTTTTACATTTCAACCCTTGCCATTTTGTGCCCCCCCCCCCCCCGTAAGAAATTCCTGGATCCGCCACTGATGCCCATACCCCTTGAGCTTAGGGGCTCCGCCCTCGGACCCCCGCCGGGCTTTGCCACTAGACCCAATTTCGAGAAACGTTCAGCAGGGACTGCATGTTAGAGTGGGGGTGATTTGGATTTTTTTTGTCAGCCCCCCCAAACGTTTTTGCTCATTACGCCACTGCTTATGTCCTTATGTCATGTGATAATTTAAAAAAAAAACATACACATTAAGATAGTCGCCGTCACCCGAGACGTGCAAAATTGTCCTTTTCCTTTTAGATTGAACGATTTGAAGACACTACAACCCTTTATACAACAAACCTTTTGGATATAGAATACAAAGCAAGCTGGGAAAACGTATAGAAACGATAACCTACTCCCCATTTCCACCATGGTTATTCTACCCTCCGGCAGTGTCAACGGAATTAAGTACTCGAATAAAGAAAACAGATCATCCTACACAACAAAAACAAAGCAGCCTGGAAATCATACATACTAAATGGGCGACTCAATTACATATATACACCGATGGATCAAAAGTACCTGAAAGAGGGACCTCTGCAGCTGCTTTTTACGCCCCTTACTATTCTGTACATCGGAGCAAAAGGTTAGCAAATTTCACCTCTTCGTACAGGGCTGAATTGGCTGCCATCATTCTTGCTCTCAGATGGGTAGATGAATTAGACATTTATGTGGGGGTTGTTATTTTTAGTGATTCACTGAGTGCACTTATTGCATTACAACAACAGAAGGACGAATCTTTTATTCTGGAAATTCTCACCATGACTACTCACTTAAAGAATAAAGGAGTTGATATATATGTAGAGTGGATACCTGGACATTGTGGAATAAAAGGGAACGAGATGGCGGATTTCCACGCAAAGGCCGCATTAGTAAAGAAAATAGAAGTCAATAATAACCTAAATATGTCAGAAATGAAAAGCTTAATTACTACAAGTTCCAAACTCCTTTGGCAAGAAAGGTGGAACAAAACCAACTCGTATTTGAAAACATATCAAAAAGATGTTAATAAACCATATATATGCTCATTAGAGAGACAACATTCAACAATAATACATCGACTCCGCTTTGGAGTCCTTGGACTTAACCAGGATCTCCTCAGATTGGGAATTCATGCTACTGGTTTCTGTAATAGATGCCCCAGTGAAATAGAGACTGTAAAACATTTTTTAGTACATTGCCCTAACTATATTATAGAAAGGGCTATGTTTCTAACAGAAATTAACGAATCCCAACCTGAAAAAATTATGGAATACTTAAAAAAGAGTGAGTCCAGTATACAAAAAGCTATTGTACGGTTCTTTCTCAGAACGAAACGGTTCCCTATCAGGAAGTAATACCTCCCTTGATGAACAGTAAAATATAATACAATATTATAAATATGCTAAATTACACTCAGTACATTAAAAATATAATAACATAATGTAATAAGAAAATAAAAAAAAGAACAGTAAAACATAATACAATATTATAAATATGTTAAACTACACTCAGTACATTAAAAATATAATAACATAATGTAATAAGAAAATAAAATAAGAATAGTAAAACATTATACAATATTATAATATGCTAAATTACACTCAGTACATTAAAAATATAATAACAATCATAATGTAATAAGAAAATAAAATAAGAACAGTAAAACATAATACGATATTATAAATATGTTAAATTACACTCAGTACATTAAAAATATAATAACATAATGTATTAAGAAAATAAAATAAGAAAAAGTAACAACAAGGAAAAAAGGTATGATAAGATTACTGAATATAGAAGCTTGTGTAGGTGCTATCTTATATACATATTTATGTATGGTGTGTATGTGATATAACAAATAATCTGCACGTACTGTTAAGAAACACTAACAAAGCCCATGAATGTTTTGCTTACGATATTATTTTACGATACTATCTTAAAAGATAGATAAATATAAAACGAAATAAATGTATTTTTAAAAAAATCCAAAATTGAGAGATATAACACGTGCCGTAAAGTAATTTGGCGACAATAGTCAAATCACTGACTAATCGCCAATAACTCAAAACACAACAACAACAACAACAACAACATTGGTTTCTGGCCTACTCCTTATTGGTCGCAGTCATCATCTCTATGGCAGGCATTTATAGAGATATGGTCGCAGGCTTGTTACATATTAGTCGCTAGGTTCATGGGAGCGCGCAGGTTTTGACTTACGTTTTAGCGATTTACCCTCAGCACTAGCTGGTTGATGATTTTCCTGGGAGACTAAAGAACTTGAAAAGGTATGAACATTTCATGTTTTAGAGAAAGAAAACTATATTTGGATGAGATATGAAAGTGTATAGATCTAAGGTTACACACTTTATAAGGATAGACCTAATGTTACTGTATTCTAGGCCTAATAAATACAAGAACATAAACTAGATCTCTAGGAATGATTGTAAACATCTGATTGTGCACCCAGACTCCAAAGACGTAACTCCAGGAAGCTCCGACGCCTACGCCGAAGGCGTCTTTGGCGTCGGTGTCGGACTCGTCGGAGTTTCCTGGAGCTGGAGTTACCATAGACCGAATTTTCCGTCTCTTTCGTTCGTTAGCCTCTTATTGGGGTAGGGTCGGCTCTCTCTTTAGAGACGGAAACCGTCTATACACATTCCCTTGATAACGCCACGGCCATTTCAGGTCGTAGCGTTTTGCCCCCAAAATCCCCCAAAATGTCATTTTACCTCGTGCATGTTATAGACTATAGACTCTATTGTAAATTAGGCCTAGGCTATAATAAATCAGTTCCACTTACCAACTTTACTAAAATAATCAGTTTAATAGTCCCTTTTTTAGGAATTTATGGGTCAAAAATCGAAATCCATGTTGAAAAAGATTATCAAAATGGATTTCGATTTTTGACCCATAAATTCCTAAAAAGGGACTAGGTCTAGACCTCTAGGTCTAGATTCTATTAAACTGATTATTTTAGTAAAGACTAAAGTTGGTAGACTCTAAGTGGAACTGATTTATTATAGCCTAGGCCTAATTTACAATATAACATGCACGAGGTAAAATGACATTTTGGGGGATTTTTGGGGGCAAAACGCTACGACCTGAAATGGCCGTGGCGTTATCAAGGGAATGTGTAGACCTATAGACGGTTTCCGTCTCTAAAGAGAGAGCCGGCCGACCCTACCCCAATAAGAGGCTAACGAACGAAAGAGACGGAAAATTCGGTCTAGAGTTACCAGAGACGGTGCTGGATCTGCATATAGATCTAGCCTAGACCTATCTCGACCGGTGGTCGGTCCTAGACAGAAAATTTGGGCCGAAAATTTATGTCTCTTTCGTTCGTTAGCCTCTAGCCTAGTCTTAAGACTTAAAGTGACTGAAAGAGTCTTAGGCCTAGACTCTAGGCCTATCTGGGTAGGGTTAGCTGCACTCGAATAATATAGGATCTAGATCTAGACCGAAATTTCTGTCTCTTTCATTTGTTATGCTTGCTAGATCTGTTTACACTAGACCCTAGATGTTCCTGGTGGCCACGGCAGCCCCGTTTGCCTGAAACGTAGTGCGCATTAACTAACAGCAGGCCTAGACCGAAAGCTTCAGTCTCTATACCGTCGGTTGTTCCACTGAGACTACGTCTGGCTCCACTAGACCTCCGGTTATAGAGACAGAACGATCGCCTATGCCAGCCTATGTTGAAGATATCACGGCTAGATTTTAGCCGTTAGGCCCCTCCCACAAACATGAACAAACTTGCCACGGCCGTATTGTTATGCCCCCAAAATCCCCCAAAATGTCATTTTACCTCGTGCATATCCAATTTTACATTAGGCCTAGGCTATAATACATCGGTTCCACTTACTAACTTGATTGAAATAATCCGTTTAATGGTCCCTTTTAAGGAAATTATGGGTCAAAATCGACATCCATGTTGAAAATCTTGCAAGCCGTGTTAAACTCTCGCTGCCGTCAATCTCATCCCTTCTAGTCTACGCCGAAGGCAAAAATGATTATGAAGGAAAAACTGTGATAACGCCATTACGAACATGTAGATGGCGCACAGTTTTTCCTTCATAATCATTTTGCCTTTGGCGTAGACTAGAAGGGATGAGATTGACGGCAGCGAGAGTTTAACACGGCTTGCAAGATTTTCAACATGGATGTCGATTTTGACCCATAATTTCCTTAAAAGGGACCATTAAACGGATTATTTCAATCAAGTTAGTAAGTGGAACCGATGTATTATAGCCTAGGCCTAATGTAAAATTGGATATGCACGAGGTAAAATGACATTTTGGGGGATTTTGGGGGCATAACAATACGGCCGTGGCAAGTTTGTTCATGTTTGTGGGAGGGGCCTAACGGCTAAAATCTAGCCGTGATATCTTCAACATAGGCTGGCATAGGCGATCGTTCAGTCTCTATAACCGAAGGTCTAGTGGAGCCAGACGTAGTCTCAGTGGAACAACCGACGGTATAGAGACTGAAGCTTTCGGTCTACAGCAGGCCTAACAGTTTAAAATGAGGGTGCAAGAATTTCAACAATTTAATTTTGACGATGAAAGCAAATCCGGCGCTAGACAGAAATAACCGTCTGATTTGGTCATTTCTTTTAAAAAACTGACCTTTGTTGACAACCCAGGGATCTCGTACCGTGGGGGTGGCTAGAGCCACCGATGTACATCTTTTCGTTCAAAACATTTTCTCCCCGATTTTCTTTATTTAGATCTTATTTTCTGATTTCTAAATCAGATGTAAATTAGGTCGGTATATATACCTCCTAATTACAGTTTTCAAAATTTGCTAACCTATTATAGAATGTGAAATTTACGGACTTACTTATTATGAGTTATCCATACCGATGGTGGGTTGCCGGCGGGCGCGCGCCTGTGTGAAGTTATCTACCGTAATGAGGATCTGAGACATTACGGTAGATAACTTTACACAGGCGCACGGCCGCCCGCAACCCACCATTGGATGCACTTGTATTGTGCAGCGGTTTGCCGTGAAACCTGTGAAAAAGTGTATACTAATATAAACGTTTATCCGAAAAATACTCCAAAAGTAACAAGAAAATTGACACGCGAACAGGTAATAAACATAACGACTTTTAACTCATGATCTTTATTTGGACATTTAATGAATATTTACTTTATTTTGAGTACCGTTATGTTTTAGTATGGTATCTTCACGCCGGAGTTACTTGTCAAATTTTGGATAGGCTTCTGAACAAGTGCCGAAAATCCTTTAAAAGATCATTCCAACACAGCATACAGTCAAGCTGGTAATTGGCACAAATAGGTGCATTACTATCCCGGCTGTGTAAGTTTTGGGTTATTATGATGCATTGCGTTTTAAAACACTTGCACTAAAGGACTAGTTTTGTACCACAAACACACCATATGCATGTAAAGTTCATAAGGTTGGTATTTTCAGTTTGAATGCAAAGCAATTGAAATTATATTATTATTTCCATAGTGATTGTATGCATACCTGCCAACCACCCCGATTTAGGCGGAGTTCCTCCGCTTTTTACATACCAACTCCGAATTCCGAGTGCATGCCTCAAAACTCCGATTTTTTTTTAATAATTTTTTTTTTTTTTTTTTTTTTTTTTTTTTTTTTTAGAGTGTAATGCACTTGGAGAGTATATAACTATTATGTTTGTATTTTGAAATGTAAAGCGCCTTGAGCATGTTCATGTAAAGGCGCTCAATAAATACCAATATGTATGTATGTATTTATGTATAAGACTAAAGCATAACACAGCACTGATAACCAGATCACGCCGACATCCGCGCTCGCGCTCATAGAAGATGTACACAGCGCAGCCCGAACGTGATCGTTAGTTCCGCAGTCACCCCCTGTGTACCCCCCCCCCCAATCTACGGGCTACTACCCCAATCCTTCGGTGGTTCGTGACCTCGTAGTCCATCCAGAAAAATTTACTCCTAATTTCTCTTGTCTCAGGTTGGCAGGTATGTGTATGGTATGAAACAAAATGAAATATGGTATGTCCTCGATTTTGATATCTTGTTTTCATTACTTATAATTTTACTTGACACAGATATAGCAGCCATGGCAAAAAATACCACCTTGTTGCTTCAGAAGTTACGTGGCTTTATGCAAAGCTCTCAGTATGGCGGTCCAATACAAGCCTATATCATTCCGTCATGTGATTCTCATCAAGTGAGTTCATGTTAGGTAGATATCGTACAAGCCTATCTCATTCCATAATGTTATTCCCATCAGTTGAATTCCATGTCAGGCTGATCTCATACCAGCTTATACATTCCATTATGATATTCACATGAGGTAATGTAGATCTCGTATAAGCCTGAATGTTTCCATCATGTTAGAGAGCTCACATACTGTGGTAGAAATACCGGTAATGCTAATGTCATTGATGTATTAATGATAATAAGAATAACTAAAATATATTACAGTACCACTGTCAGCAATTATGTTATCTTGCTTCCTATCACTTTACACATCACAACATATACCACATTGATATTATACCTTTGAATAAACTGTACATTTTGAGGTTTTTGAGCTATCACCTTTTAGAGGGGTTAATAAAGTTGAAATATTAACTGTTGTGTGCTTTGTGAACTCCATTTACCAACAATGTTGAGATAGTAGTTCATGTTTATTTGTTATTTGTTATTCTTCTTCAGAATGAGTACATAGCCGAGTGTGACTGCAGGCGGCCATTTATAACCGGCTTCACTGGATCCAGCGGTAAGAATGTAATGTCCTGGTGTATTTTTTTTTAAATATTTGGGACACTTAAATCAATGAAGTTTAAATTATTCATTTTTACACCTCTATATGTTTGGAAAGCTAAAGCAAATAATAGTGATGCTCTGTTTATATTTTTCAGTACTCATGGAGTTTAGCTGGTATAGCATGGTATACTTATTTTGTTTACTGTATACCTCACTTGTGTTGTCCTTTTTAAAAAAGACACTATGCATTATAAACTGAGTTTGCTAGTTATGTTGAGATTTATACTGTGTATTTAACATTTTGAATGTTTTTCTTTTGATATCAAATTGTGAGTTGTAATACATATGGAAGTTTAAGTGCTATATATATATATATATATTTTTTTCCCCCTCTATTTTTTTACCATAGGAATGTTGCTTTCTTTTCAGTGAAAGAGTTGTAGTTATTTCAAAATTAAGTTTTTATAGAAATATTTAATTAATTTTCAATTAATAATCCTCTATAGAATGCATTGCTATATTTAGAATTAAAATCTCAAAATTTGCTTGATAAATGTTTGGAGGAACATTACCATACATGTTCAGATCTTGACATCTTTAGGACAAGGAATAAAGAATATTGAGCTTACGGAAAATCAAGCTCAATAAATATTTAGTTCAGGCGGAAATGGCGGAATAGCTAGGGCAAGAAATATTTAGTTTAAGAAATACTGAGTGCAAGCAATATATAGCTCAATATAATGAATTCATTGATTAGACAGCCTGTGTATCAATACAGTTTTGTATTAAGACTATAGAATATACCTTGTGTTCATTCTAACATTTAATTTCCTTCTACTGTAGGCACCGCTATTGTGACAGAAATGAAAGCAGCAATGTGGACTGATGGAAGATATTTCCTCCAGGCGGCCAAACAAATGGATCAAAACTGGACACTCATGAAAATGGGTAATGCTGAAATCATCTTTATTATTTGTAATTAATGATTAGCTATTAAATCTCTTGAGTCTGGACTGACTCTACTCATGTAATCGTCTTGCGATCTGCGGCCTGATGCATAGTTGTGACTGAAATACACCGTCAACAAATCAGACAAAAAAAGAAGAAATATCAGACTTTGATACAGCATGCCATCATAATTGTTTGCCAATCAAGACACATTTTAGCTTTGCCAAGAAAATATTCTACCTTTTTGCTTTCAACCATGGATAGTATTGTGAAGGCAATAAGGAAACAATATGTGATTGCCGATTTGCCATTTTCCTATATGCATGTATATGGAAGGCTTAGCACCTGTTTAGCTAGGTAGGATCTTTAAATGGCTTTAACTAAAAATTATACCATGACAGAATGACGAGCAGTATTTTGTTTTGCTGTTGACTGCATTTAATCTGTTGGTGGTTCTGCCATTGTGTTAAAAAAGTGGAGTTGGAAAAAGAAATGAGCAGTGTACATGTTTTGAATACTCCCTTGTGATACCAGGGCCGTGTCTTATTAAGAGTTTATATTAATCTCAACATCTTTGCCATTGAAATCAATCACAACGATGTACATAAGAGATATGGTACTGCAAACCTGTGAGTTATCAAGCGCATCTCTTTTTAAGACGGGGCCCAGTTAACAAGGGTACTAATAACTTTCCAAGACCCTCAGACCATATTCTTTCTACAAATGTCATGATGGTTTTTGTACCTCTCCTTTACAGGTATGCCCAAGACCCCAACTCAGGAAGAATGGCTGACAGAGGTAAGTACTTACATTAAATGAAAACACCTATACCCAAGTGACTCTTTTCTGCTTTGGTTCACTAGTAGAACTTGCAATAGACCAGTCTAGTTTACTCTTATCACTTGTTCAGTATGAGGTGTCATGCCTTCATATTGGGATTTAAGCAATTTTAATTTGTTCTTGAGTTTTTTTTGGTGGCATGTAGGTATCCTTTTTATAGTTTCAAATTGTTTGCATGGAGCTTAAAGTAGATATTCATTGATTTTAAAAACTAACTTTATTTTCATTATTGCAAAGTTGAAACTTTGCTTCGACAAGTTTATCAAAATTCAATGCTTGGAAACATTCAAAGTAATGATTATTATAAATTACAAAACACTTAAAGGTGAAATTCAAAGAAGATCACAAATATGTCAACTAATGTAACACTAGAAACTGGTAAGCTAACAGATGGCGATCGTACAAGTTTTAGGTCAACTACATATCGGGTGATTTATAAAAATACAAATACAACCACCTCCATAGCAGCTGAGATATACGAGAGATTCGCCGGAAAAAATAACGATGTTTTAATGACGTCATTATATGGACCAACACTGCCCAAGCAGACGACATCCCATAGAGAATGAACATAATTGCAAAGCTATTATTTCTCAATTTATAATGAGTTTAGTGTATATAAATGTAATGGCACGTCAAACCATTCAAAAGGGGATATGACCCGATTCTGATAACTAAAATCTTTTGCTTGTAAATACACAGGATAGGGGTTAATTAACAATCAAAGAAACCAGATTTTCAAATTGAAAAGCCCCCGGAATGATATTAAGGACGGCATTTGTTCCCTCTTGAAACGCCGAACATACCCCGGTGTGTGCAGCTGAATATACAATGGCGTCTTATTTTGTTTACAAGCGACAAATTCCTTTATTTTTGTATCGCTGCATTTGTCATCGAAATAAAACCATGCGCGGGGTTTAGAGTGAGGCAATAGATTATACATTTAGCCTGACAATAGTGAAGTAAGAGAAAGAACTCAGGAGAAGATGAAAACACAGGCACTGAAAATGTGTGAGATGTCGTGGGACATCGTCTGCTTGTGCAAGTCATGTCCATACTGTGATCTCACACATCTCAGCAGCGTTCGGAGAGCTCTTCAGGTGCTATGCCGGGGCTGTATATAAGCGTTTTGTAATTTATAATAATCATTACTTCGAATGTTTCCAAGCATCGAATTTTGATAACCTTGTCGAATCAAAGTTTCAGCTTTGCAATAGTGATAATAAAGTTAATTTTTAAAATCAATGAATATCTACTTTAAATACAGCCCCGGCATAGCACCTGAAGAGGTCTCCGAACGCTGCTGAGATGTGTGAGATCACAGTATGGACATGATTTGCACAAGCAGACGATGTCCCATGACATCTCACACATTTTCAGTGCCTGTGTTTTAATCTTCTCTTAAGTTCTTTCTCTTACTTCACTACCGTCAGGCTAAATGTATAGTCTATTGCCTCACTCTAAACCCCATGCAATGAATTTATTTTGATGACAAATGCAGCGATACAAAAATAAAGGAATCTGTCGCTTGTAAACAAAATAAGACGCCATTGTATATTCAGCTGGACACACCGCGGTATGTTCGGCGTTTCAAGAGGGAACAAATGCCGTCCTTAATATCATTCCGGGGGGTTTTCAATTTGAAAGTCTGGTTTCTTTGATTGTAAATTAACCCCTATCCTGTGTATTTACAAGCAAAAGATTAATTTTAGTTATCAGAATCGGGTCATATCCCCTTTTGAATGGTTTGACATGCCATTACATTTATATACACTAAACTCATTATAATTTGACAAATAATAGTTTTGCAATTATGTTCATTCTTTATGGGATGTCGTCTGCTTGGTCAGTATTGGTCCATATAGTGACGTCATTAAAACATTGTTATTTTTCCGGCGAATCTCTCGTATATCCTAGCTGCTATGGAGGTGGTTGTATTTGTATTTTTTATAAATCACCCGATATGTAGTTGACCTAAAACTTGTACGATGGCCATCTGTTAGCTTACCAGTTTCTAGTGATACATTAGTTGACATAATTGTGATTTTCTTTGAATTTCACCTTTAAGCATTGTGTGTTTTTTGTGATAGTATAATGAACAGGAATTTTAGAATAGTTTTGTTGAAAATGTTCTAGTGTGTATTTTCTGTTAGATACATGATAGATAATACATATTAAGCAGACAGGGATTTTTGTCTCGCCTGCATGGCAAAAGCGAGACAAAGGCGCCGCTTTTCCGGTGATGGCGGCAGGGTCAACATCAAAAACTAAACCTAAGGTTAAAGGTAATACAAAGTTTTGGGAGATTTTGAAAATTGGCTGGATAAAGATTCTTTACAATCTTGTAATATTTGGATGCCCCTGTGGATGTATTATAAGCACTAAAAAAAAAATTGAAAAAATTTACCGGTGCTCCCGGTAAATTTCTATAATTTTCAAATCGCGCCTATGGCCATAAAATGATAGCTGCAACAATGAAAATCTCAGAATGTGTAGTTCTGGGGGTTGATTCACTAACTGGGAACGATATCATTCCTATAAAGAGCAATTTGGGGGATTGATTTCAATCCCAGCTTAAAACGATTCTACCTGACTGGTTCACTAAATCGCTTTTAGGCTGGGATCAATCCCAGCGTGAATAATCATGTTCGCGATCAATCCAGCCAATCATCAGGCTCAAATTTTGGTCACTGGGCATCAATCAATCGCGAGATTGACGATAATTAGCTAGCTAGCTATCGTTACTTAACATTTGTTAATGACGTTCATTTCTATGTTGATTTTTTTTCTAAAATTAGAAAACTGAGTTAAATTTCGCATAAGACTGAAACAAAATCATTCATGCCGTTTTCATGTAGCAGTGTGAGGATGAACACGGTTTTATGTGGGTATAGTTTGTCTATCTTTCTACGCTTGTTTCCAGTAAAATGCCGGATTTAACGTACGTAATGTACGTAAGTTAGACCTAGGTCTATAGGCCTACAATCCCCAGTTTGACAGAAAGTGTTGCTAATGATGTAATGAGTAGCATAATGGTTACACACAAAAGGCAATGCTAAGAGCAATACGGATCACTCTCAGCCTTAATAGCGATTTTACTCCTAGTATTAATCCCAAATGCCTTAGTGGACCAGTCCTTAAAAGCGATATTGCTCTTAGGAGTGATATTGAGCCTAAGAGCAATATAATCTCATTTATGATCGATTTTAGCTGTTAGTTAATCACCCCCCTGATATATAATTTCCAAACGAGAATAGCCAATCGGTCAATTTTACTCAAGAAACATTATTTTTATAGCTAAATTAATATCTTGACCTTGAGAGGGAGCTATACAACTAAAAGAGTTTATTATTTACAATTTCATCACTGTAGACTCGATTTCAACTGCGACAACGATCACTGAATATTGTAGGATCGAATATATGTTTCCAATACGTTCATTTGAACCAAATTCATGACCCCAACCAAAAACTTTGTAATACCTTTAAGTTTTTTAATTTTTAATATAATTTTGAAAGTACATGTAAGTTCTTTTTCAATGAAACTTGGACAAGTATCCCCAATCATATGAGTAGAATTTCAGGTCATAATGTCAAGGTCAAAGGTCATTTCGGGTCAACAAACTTAGACTACTGTATGTTGTGGCATCAACATCAAAACTAACCAAAGGTTAAGATTTTGAATTTTTATCATAATTTGGAAAGTATACATTTCTGTTCCATGAAACTTGAACACAGGGGTTATCAAGTATCACCAATCATGTGATTAGTCTTTTAGGTGACAAAGTCAAGGTCGAATGTCATTTCAGTTCTGCAAACTTACTCTTTGTTGCGGCATCAACACCAAGATTTTGATTTTTTTTTTTGTTAGCATAATTTCAAAAGAGCAAATTCCATGAAACTTGTACCCAAGGGTTATCAAGTATCACAAATCATATGGCACAACTTTCAGGTCACAAAGTCAAGGTCAAAGGTCATTTTAGGTCAGTAGATTTGGATTAGGTTTTCACAACTTAGTATGACAATTAATAAATCAATTTTTGTTATTTGTATCATATTTCATGAAAGTTATCAATCTTGGTACAAATTATAGTAAATAATTCTTCTGATGATTCTTACCGGTAGTCAATATTCACTTCAAAATTATGATTATTTTTTGAGGATGTCATATTTGGGGGCCTGTTAATGGGCCACCCTGCCTAGTATTCACTTCAAAATTATGATTATTTTTTGAGGATTTCATATTTGGGGGCCTGTTAATGGGCCACCCTGCCTATAAATAATGTCCCAACCTCAATTTTTCATCATATCGAATAGCGTAATGCAGGTGAGACCGCCAAGAGTGTTTCCCTTGTTTTTAAATGAAAATGTTACCTAGTGATATTAACAAAGTTAGCATTGCACTCATTCTAACTGATAAATTAAATTAAATGTTTTGAGTGCCATCATGATCCTGACTATAATTTTTAAGCAATGGACCCTTTTGATGATGTATTCAATAATGCAGTATAAAGCAATTCTTTCCAAAGTGAAAAGCTTCTTTTAGCTTAAAATTGACATATGTTGATAAATATTACATTCAGGAAAATCTGTGCTAGAAATCATATTTTGGGGAAATGAAGGGGACAATTTCTTTTGCTTTGGAGTTGCATTAATCACACATCGGTAGGTATCAACAAAACAATTCTGCTTTAGAATTGGAATTATATTGAAATAATTACATGTACATGTAGGTATTGTAAGGTTTTAAGTTTACTGATTCAAATGGTTACTTGTTTATGCTTTCCACTCTGTTATGCTTCAGTGCACTCCTGATCTGACCTACATTCATTATCTGATGTATGTTAAGCTCTTGGCTTCTATTGTTCTGTCCCTATTTATTCATCCTCATTCAACATTACCTGCCATAGCACTACAAACAGACATACATACACACACACACACACACACTCTTTCTAT